ACAATTGAGACTTTGTCACTTAATTCTGACTTTATAACACACAATTGCGACTTTATACCACGCGATTCTGACTTTATATCTCGCAATTATGAGTAATAATTTCGCAATTGTGAGAAAAAAAAGTCCGAATGTGAGATGAGTCGCAATTAGCTTTTTTTTATTTTTCATTCTGTGGCGGAAACAATCTTCCATATGATTAGGAACCTGACGGATCTTCTTTCAAAAACAAAACTTATTATAACCCCATCACCTTTTTAAAATATCTCTCTCTCTCTGTGTGTGTGTGTTCCACAGGAGAACTAAAATCATGTATTTTGACAGTATTTTCACGATAATTAAGCACATTTCCCCCTCATTATTCTCATTACTGTAATGTGTTGTGTTAGTGTGTGTGTAAGCCTCATTCTCAATGGTGCTTCTCATTAGATTCTCATTAATGTAATGCACAAAAATCTTAATGGTCCTAAAAATAGGCTTCATGCTCCTTAAGGAAAATATCATTTCAAATTTCTCTTTCTTGTGATTTTTTGGGGTGATATATGGTCCGAAAAGAACATTTGCTCACTGATGTACTGACTCTGAGTGTGTATCTGTTATCTTGAAGCCATTATCACAGCACTGATAAGCCAGAATAACACATGGGCGTCACGTACCCCACCATCGTGTTTAAGTGCTCATCATGACACTGCGCCTCTCATCTACACTTGCTTTTAGTAAGTAAACACACCCCTTCATTGCATCATTAATCAATGTGAACACACACACGCACACACACACACACACACACACACACAGAGATAGCTAGACAAGCCTGAAGTGGCTTTACTCTAAGTGGTTTCCAACCCTGTGGCCTCAAGGAAGAAAAACCGTTCAGATATTGCGAAAACTTAAGTGTGCAAAATGTAGTAGTGCGCACTCAAGTGTGGCAGATGACCCAATTTTCCCTCAGACGGCATGTTCACGCTGTTGTAATGAATGATTAATATCACGTTATATGATGGAGACGTACAAGAGCCCCAGGAGAAAAGGTCCAAAGGCTCATGCATGTGTGCTTTAATGCACACGTTTGTGTGTGTTTGTGTGAGTGAGCCGCCGGTACCCGTTTGAGTACACTTACTAAGGGTGATGCAAACAGCCCTTAACAAATGGGCCTGAACAGAAGACACGAATCCCACAGCGATGACTTGGGAATTCTGTCTTGGGAAATGAAATGGAAACAATTAACAAGTACATTTCAGGAAACTGAATGGAATTAAGACTCGTCTCATTACCTTCATGTCCTCACAACTTAAGAAAGCTTGATGATTTGATTAAATTAAATTCAGATTTATTTGTGCAACCACTTTTACGATAACTTTTACGGCTCCCAGGCCTATAGAATAGTGTATATTCACAATAATTGTATTTACTGATCTATATGTATTATTATAATTACTATTATCATTATTACAGTTCTACCACCAATCCTATTATCATCATGAATTCTGTTTGTTGCCACTGTTACCGCTGCCATCGCTACTATTCTTATCTTTGTTATAGTTATTATTATTAATATGAATACTGCCTCTACTTCTACTTCAATTCTATCACAATTACTATGAATATCTCAATATTGCTTCTATCTAAATCTCTAAAATATCCCACTGCTTAAACTTAACAATGTACCTGCATACATCACTAGATCGATATATTTATATTTATCTCTTTTTTTTGTAATGTTTTTTGTCTTTGTCTCTTTGTTACATCTTTTTAGTTATGAGAGTCTCAGTCTGCATTACATTATCAATGGTGTTTTAGGATGCCAAACAATTATTATAATAATGTAATAATGATTCATAATTATTCCTATGACGTACTGTAAAATCCATTTATAGCTTATAAATGTACTATGTAAATGAAAATGAGTATTTCAAAAGTAGGCCTATATTTTAACCTACATTACACTATAATATAGGAAAATTAAAATACTTTTGTCCTAATTTCTTCACTTGCAAGAAATAAAGCCTTGAGCTTTTATTTAGGAGAAAACACCAGATGATCGCGTGAGCAAAGTAATCACGCAGCACAAACTGGATGCTATTCTAATGTCAGTTATTATAATGGCGCAACGCCATATCATGGTTTCAATTTTAGTTTGTTGGCAAAATATAAGGTTAGAGACCTTAATGTTAGGTTTTACATTTAACATCTTTACATATCTGTGTTGGGAAAAGGGGTTAAACTCGCGTTTAGCGCATCAAAAAGCTGCTTTCAAGTACTTCACGCCCTACGACACAGAGGCTGTTTCAAGACAGGTGTCGTTTAGCTGTAAAGACAGGCACCCGTTATAAAAAATGTAAAAAAAAGAAAAAAAAAAAGGTTTCTCCCCTTAGCTTGGGCCATGGCGAACTTCCAATAAATACATTTTATCAGACCGGGCCGGCCCTCGCGGCGTCGAAACACTACCGGCCCACAGGGAAAACTCCCGACTCTCCCGATTGCCACTCCGCTACTGACTGAAACTGTCTTTTGGACCTTGAACCGTTTGGTTCCCATTGATGTCCATTATATGGAGAAAATCCTGGAATGTTTTCATCAAAAACCTTAATTTCTTTTCGACTGAAGAAAGAAAGACATGGACATCTTGGATGACATGGGGGTGAGTAAATTATCAGCAAAAGTTTTTTTTTTTTTTTTTTAAAGTGAATGAGTAGAAGAGAGTCCTTTCAAAAAATAAGTCTTACTGGCCACAAACTTCTGAACAGTAGTGTATATTAGTGCCATCTTCCATATCCAGTTATCAGTATCCATCCATATCATCTTTTAATAAGAATGTATTGTTTGATCGCTACTGTTGCATGAATAAAATCCAGAATGTCTTTAATTTCTTTGCAAGCAGTGACCATTTGCAAAGATAAGGTACTTAAATATGACAGAAAGTGTGTCTTCTGTGTGTTGATGTTGTACAGTCCCTCTGGTTTCTCTGTGCTCAACTGAAGTGGAATATCTTGTATGCCCTCAGTCTCACCCCACGTCAAAAATATGTTCGCTTTACCGAGCTAGCAAATGCTAACACGCAGGAAATATCACACTAACCCAAATTGTGCGAGAGAAAGAGGGTTTGTTGAGACTTGCCTAGAGACCGTGTTAAAGCACGTAGAAGATGTAGCAGGACAGAACGAATGTGCGCTTGATGAATGATATGATAGAATGAAGGACAAATCTGCCGTGACATCAGACAATCCTTCAAAATCATCTGCATATATCCAACATGTCGGTTCAGTGTTTCATTTACTCACTGTCATGTTGCTTCTATCTATTATTGATTTTGGAAGAACTAACCTTATGACAGCCCAAATACCCAATCAAATCATTGTGCTGAGAAGCCTTGTTGCCGTCCGATTCCTTTGACTGGTAAAAAAGATGCTGTTATGGCACTTGTAATTCCAATACTAGGTATCCAGAGTGGCTATTTAATGGAGTTTTGTTTGTTCTGGTCCCGAATTCAGCCAGACATCTCGGAAAAATGCAATCCTGGGATAAGACTTGTCATTCTTCATGACACTGGACTTCGTTAATTTTACACTTGCGTGATTCTGTGACGTTTTCTCCATTATATAGAACGATTATAAGATGTTTGGACAGTTTTCATTAACAAGATCCAATTTGGAGTTTAATGTGGCAGTGAGCTTCATCGTCAGAAAAACTGAGCAGGATATTTGGTCCATTTCCTCCATGAATGCATATCTACTCACTGTTAAGAGCGAGCATCTGTATTCTGAATGCGCATGGCCTTCATTCAAGATACTTGTGGTGCTTCTGTTGATTTCCTCTTACATGTGGATTATTTGGTCAAATTAGAAAAACAGAAGCATGCTGAATGGACTCTGCAATTTCAATTAATGACATTAAACTTCTGTTTTAAGAAAAACACACAAAACACATTGCACATTTTTCTTGTGTTAAAGGGATAGTTCACTTTGAAATTAATTTTTGGTATGTTTTATCTTACCTCAAGGGCATCCAAGATGTAGGTGTCGTTGTTTCCGCAGTATTTTCAATTTTGATATTTTTAGGTCACACTGTTCGTGTCTGTCAGTCATATAATGGAGGTCTATGGTCACCACCTCAAAGAGCATGCACAGAGAAGTCCAAATTAAACATGATTTAATGACTCGTAAATGTAAGTACACATTGATGGCCTAAGACACGAAACGAGTGGTTTGTGTGAGAAAATGAACAGTTTTTATATTTTTACCTCTTTTAACCACAGCCACGCCCACTTCCGAAACCTCCCGCACCCTCAGATCACTTGGGCGTGGCTGTGGTTACAAGAGGTAAAAACGATATAAAAACTGTTCGTTTTCTCACACAAACTGCTCGTTTCGTGTCTTAGGCCATCAATGTGTACTTACATTTACGAGTCATTAAATCATGTTTAATTTGGACTTCTCTGTGCATGCTCTTTGAGGTGGTGACCATAGACCTCCATTATATGACTGACAGACAAGAACAGTTTGACCTAAAAAATATCAAAATTTAAACTACTGCAGAAACAAAGACATCTGCATCTTGGATGCCCTTGAGGTAAGATAAAACATACCAAAAATTAATTTCAAAGTGAACTATCCCTTTAATGTCAGTGTTATGACTTGTGGACTGTCTGACTTCATGTGTAGAATTTTCCTTATTTTACTGTTTCCTTTTCTTATTAATACCGTAATATTTAGTCTCAACATAACGAAAGAGTACATAATCTCTGAATCATAGCACAGGCAAAAAAGGAGCAATTACAAGCTAAAAAAGCAATGCTTATGCATGTTGTAGTCTTTGAAAAAAAGTTTTTGATATATTGCATGTTCAGATATCCATAAAGCAAAATGGTGGGGGCCATGATAAATTGTGTGAAAATGATCAAAAATGCTGGCAACTCTTCAACTTCTTGAAGAATCTCTGCTTTCCCCCAAATAATGTAACTCTATTGTGACTAGTAAATCTCAATGTCTAAGTTTCGGACTCACCAGTGCTGGATCTGATGGTTTCGTTTCCCACAGTTTGTCCCAGTAGGTCATACTGGTTCAGTCTAGAGCTCTCCTCTTCCACCACCACAGAGTTGGATGCGTTCTTCGTCCAAGTGTACGTCACCTCTGTCGTCGTGTAAGCATCTGTAGAAACAATTTCAGTGGGGCCACAATTAAAACTTTGAAGATGATTGTTTGAAATGTTAACTCTCAGTCAGTACAAGAAAGAGACTCAATGATGCTTTGGTGAACAAATCTAGATGTTACTCACAGCTGCCGAATTTAAGCGGACAGGAGTGGAAGTCCATGGGGAAATCTTCAAGATGCATCGGACACTCGGCATGCACCGTCAACCTGTGATTTACATGCACAAACACAACAAAAGGAGACATTCAATACCAGGATTTAGAGGTCTACTACCAGACCCGATCCCGATGCTACATGAAGAACTCGGAGGGTTTCAAGTCAGATTCAGGTTAAGCTTTCATGAATATCTTTGGGTTCGTAATGAAGAAAAACTATATATATTTAGTCAAGGTTTGCATGCGGTCTGGTCAAAAGAGCGCACGAGAGCAGAAGCTCATTTGTATAAGCTATAATTTATACATTAAGGAAAGTCTTTCTTTCTTTAGTCGAAAAGAAATTAAGGTTTTTGATGAAAACATTCCATCATTTTTCTCCATATAATGGACTTCAATGGGGTCCAAATGGTTCAAGGTCCAAATGAGAGTTTCAGTGCAGCTTCAAAGGGCTTTAAACGACACCAGACGATGAATAAGGGTCTTATCAAGCGAAACGATCGCTCATTTAAAGAAAAAATAACAAAGTTTAAGTTTTATAAGCAGAAATGGTCACCTTGCTCTGTTCTGTGATGCGCGTTCGTGACTCTCCTGTTCGAACTCGTTCATCAAAATGAACTAATCTTTTTTCATGTCATTTGGTTCATTCAATGAACGAAATGAACGAGTTGACTCGGGAAAAGATTCGTTCATTTTGATGAACGAGTTCGAGCCGGAGAGTCACGAATGCGCATCACAGAACAGAGCAAGGCGACCATTTGAGCTTATAAAACTTAAACTTTGTTATTTTTTCTTTAAATGAGTGATCGTTTCGCTTGATAAGACCCTTATTCATCGTCTGGAATCGTTTAAAGCCCTTTGAAGCTGCACTGAAAGTGTCTTTTGGACCTTGAACCGTTTGGTTCCCATTGATGTCCATTATATGGAGAAAATCCTGGAATGTTTTCATCAAAAACCTTAATTTCTTTTCGACTGAAGAAAGAAAGACATGGACATCTTGGATGACATGGGGGTGAGTAAATTATCAGCAAAAGTTTTTTTTAAAAGTGAACTACTCCTTTAACTGTGAGTGTAATAAGGCTTTTACCAGAAATGTACAATAACAAATGGCATTACAATACTTATTTATAATTAGTACATTGAGTTTAATTGAACTTTTAATGTGTTTAATATGATCTTTACTGTACGTCAGCAGCAATATATAATTTACGCTATCTCTTATTTAACACAAGCCAAAAAATTGTTATAGTCATGCCTCGTTCAGATACATCCAAGCTGCAAGACTTTTATTAAAACAATATCATTCTGATATTCTGAAACTAGTATAATGACACGCTCTTTAGCCAATTTAATGGCCAAATAAAGACTGTGATATTCAAAATGCCGCTATATTCTTAATATAATTGTGATTATTAAATATATCAGCCAGCCATTCGAATTAATAGTGGTCCTATAAATGCAAGTTCTAGATATCCACTTTCACATTCATTTCTCCTCTATTTCACTGCTTCTTTCTCGTTCTCAGTTTGTCTCCTTTTTTCTTCCTGCGCTTCACCGCGGAGTCAGGCTCTCATTGATTTGGCATCAGAGAGGAGCATTTGTGCTCACAGAAAGTGCTGGGAGCGAGAGAGAAAAAGCCAGAGAAAATTGAGAGAGAACAAGTTGGAGAGTGTCACGATGTGTTCTGGAGCAGCGTCGGGATGAACAGAGGCGAGAGTCATTATGAAAGGCCATGTTGTTTGGGGTTTGTGTACATGACACACAACAATATATCACGGCTTCTGCTCTTCCGGTTTCATCTGGAGGTAATTAGGGAGATTGACGATGATGTTTGCGGACTGCTTTACTACGAAGTTGTCACTGCTCAGCTCTTACAAAAGAGAGTGTCACATTTCTGAAAAGAGATGAAGCATTTTAATGAGTGGCTAAATCGATACAGCCGCCTGCATGAGGACTGTGGGAGTCAGTGAGGGATGAATTATTCCAATTCTCGGGAATACAAGGTAATTCAGGGATTTACATGAGGAATGACTCCATTAGCCACCCACATTATGAGCTAAATTGATCATTCACCAAATATTTAAATTCTCATAACATTATGAGAGAATCAGATCAAAATGAAAGCCATTATTCACTGGAAATTCACTGTAGGGCAAGATTTCTTTCAGATTGGGGGTGTTTCTTACACAAAACCATCCAAGACTTCAGAAGATTATAGTTCACAAGATCATGCTTATAGCCCAGATCTGTTCTTTTGATGGTGTAAAAAGACAAAATGACAAAAAATCTGATATTTTAAAGTGCAATCAATGATTGTCAGACTTAAAAAAGGCCAGATTTACAGTCGGTCACATCATGAAGCATTAAGCTTTTATTGATTTTTTTGAAAAAGTTAATGACACTGCTTTAAGTAAACCTGTTTAAATTAATAAAGAAAGAAAGGTCTGCACACAAAAAATACTGCTTTAATTTGATTGCAATCTATTCTAGAGCAGTGCTTCTTAACTGGTTTGACCATGAGACCCACATTTGAATTCTTTAAAATACCTTCAAAAATGATAAAAACTTTTATATTATGGTCAGGAGAAAAAAATTAAGGCGGAGTCATCTTGTCCCAGGATGCATCTTACCCCACATCAGGAAAACTATCTTTCCGAAGACCCTTATTAATCATCTGAAATCGTTTAAAGCCCTTTGAACAGTTTGTAGTTTGCACTGAAACTGTCTTTTGGACCTTGAACCGTTTGGTTCCCATTGAAGTCCATTATATGGAGAAAAATCCTGAAATGTTTTCATCAAAAACCTTAATTTCATTTCGACTGAAGAAAGAATGACATGGATGTCTTGTATGACATGGGGGTGAGTAAATTATCAGCAAAAGTTTTTTTTAAAGTGAACTAATCCTTTAAGTGTAAAATACCGAACTAACCCTTTAATTTCATCTGTCATTGATTTAATAAATTACACACAACAAAAGCTGTGTCTGAAATCGCTCCCTATCCACTAAATAGTGCACTATATCGGGTGTCGGCCATTTTGTAGTGGTGTCCGAATTCTGAGTGAACGACATCATTCCCTACATTCATTCACTACTTTTACCCACAATCATCTCTGAATTCGAGTATACATTCTATGTACACTCGCTGAAGCCCTATTTCCCACAATCCAATGCGGAGAGAACTGAGCGCGCATGTAAGTTCGGCGCGAGCAAGTTTAAACCAGAGATTACATTACATCCAGTGGAGGATTTGAAAAATATCCGTTAATCGTCGTTTTGAACATAATAACGGTCGCCGGAGGGCGCTCGACGACACGTCATCTGTGAACGTGAGAGTTAATGTACAATTTCAGTCGATGAAACTACAAAGCTGGCACGGAGGTATAATTACAAAATAAAGTCATTATGATTGTTATTGTTGTTAATATTATTTTATAAAGTAGGTAATGTAAGATAAGATAAGTTTTATCAGTACGCGTGACGAAGCCTTTACTGCGACAGCTCCAACTCTCCGACGCACAGTGTAAACGTCAGCGTCCGAATTCACTCACTTCATCTCGTTCACTCCTTGCAGATATAGTGCACTCAAATGCCATACACTATATAGGGATTAGTGAATGAGTGAACGAGTGAGCGGTTTCAGACACAGCTAAAGCCTTTTATTAGAAAAATGTGTAAATTAGCAAGCTAGTAGGCTACATCAGTACGGAGCCCTTAAAGGGACATGGCGGTGGAAAAAATATGAGATGGGACGACATAATGTATTTCAAAACTTTTGCATTGCCCCGAGAAACTGCATTCGCTCGGCAAGAACTCAAAGGTTTTACGAGCGACGGCTTCTGCGAGAGAAGTGTTTTTCTCCATCAAAATGTCCCTTTAGGGGCCCTGTACATCGCTTACCTCATGGTGTACAGCAGGGTGCCGTCATCTTGGATACGCAGCAGTTTGTTGGGCATGGTCATGTTGTGTGCCACAGATTTCTTCCCGTTGTGAAAGAATGTGTCTGGAGTCCAGATCTTACTGGCCATCAGGTTGTTCAAACGCAGGATGTTCATCGGTCCCTCGAACTTCAGTCGTTCATCCTTCCAGCTCTGCCTGAAGAACACGTCGATGGTGTACTCCTGCCAAAAGATGAAATCCCAGCACAGTTTACAATAACACAAGGTGCTGTTAGATGTTTTCTGTCGCGAAGGGCTTGGATGGTGTTTTGTTTGTGATAACTGGATGCACAATACGCTCTTACACTGATTGACTGGCCGTGAATTTGCTGTATACTCACAATTGTAGCAAACCAATCAATTGGATGAGCTTATAAAAGTCTGCATCATTTGAAATCAAGCATTTTCTTGTCCACAAAAGACTCAATGTCTGCAGTGTAACATTTTCTTTATCCACTTATTTGTGCAGTGGTGGATAAACACAGTTTGCCAAATGATTTGCAAATGGAGTTTATTGCATTTGAGACTCGAACCCTGCTGAGGAGAGTCAATCGCTCAAACCTTTAACTAGGGCTGAGTGTGATCAGATCCCATTCTCGACTCCGAGAGAGACTTGTGCTGCCCAGAGATATCATTACAAGCTCATCACGGATGGTAGAACAGGGAAAACTTTAAAAAATACTTTAGCTTTTGAAAAGGGGAAAAGGTGATGGAGTTTTAACCAACAAGTTTCCAGTGAAGCGGTTTGGCGCCAGTAATCACAGCCAACCAGAACGTAGTTGATGTTTAATATATTGCTATGTAGAGTGGAAATTTCACAGTGGACGGGGCTACAAAACACTTCAACACATTGGGCCCTATTTTAACGAAGTATCAAGTAACTTTGTGGGCGCTGTTGCTATTTAACTGGCAGGATAAATGACTCTTGCGCTCGACGCAAATTTAAAAGGGGTTGGTCTGAAGTAGCTTCATTATTCATAGGTGTGGTTTGAGGCATAATGGAAACAAATCAATAAGAGCATCATATCACATTCCCTTGATGAACGAGGTGCGCTTTTTCCATGGCGCAATACTATTATAAGTATTGTAGCTTCACAATCGGTTCACAGCCGGGGAGATCGATGTTCTCGTCAGGGCCGTAAAAGAAAGAGAAGTGACATTGGGGATGGGACAAACCCACCCAGATTAGCTTTGGTTAAACATGCATATAATAATGTGGGTAAATGTGTAAGCTTTATGCCTATTTTTCCCATCGTCATGGACACAACAATGATTTCCCTCGTGTTTTAATATTTTTCCATATAACAATGTATCATTTAAATGTAAAATGCATCTAGGTGAGAGAATCATCTACAGTAGAGCCAGACCGATATATCGGCCGGCCGATATTAGGCATTTTCCAAAATATGGGTTTTATTTCAAAAATAAAATAAAAATGGACTAAACACGCTTCAATCATCTCTCATTGGCCTGTTATATTGAAAATGTATGTTTTACAATTTGAAGTTTGATGTTATCTATTGCTAAATTATGGCTCATCATAGACTAGCTAACCACAAAGCTAGCTAATGCCACTATCATCAGTGGAAGACCGCTAACGTTAACATTAATGAGCTGGAAACCACAATGAACTTTTTCTGCCTAAATAAAGTATGATTACTGTATTTATAACTAGCATATCTCTAGTTACAGTCCCTGCATTGTAAAATGTAAGTTATACTTGCGAGGAGTGAACATTTAGACATAAAGAAACGTATCTTGCGCACAAAAGTTAGCTTTTATTTTACACGTGTGTGAAATCCAACAATATTTAACAAAAAAAAAATAATAATAATAATATATCGGCCGATATATCAGAATATCGGATTTTAAAACCCCAAAATATTTGTATCGGTATCGGCCTTCAAAATCCTTTATCGGTCGGGCTCTAATCTACAGTGTATGCGTGTTGTTCACGCTCTGTATTTGGCCAAGTATGCGCGCTTAAAATAGCATCTGATTGTACACGCCACTGACTTTAGACTCGTTTTTTTCTGGTCACTGGCGCAATTGTTTGCAGGAACTGCAAAATATCACTAGAGTTTGGTTTATCGTAAACACGCCTCCTTTTTGCGTCGATCCGCCCAGGGTGCACACGTTTGATTTGATTTTTATTTAGAAGGGACCATGTGCAATTAATAACATAAATGTAAACATTTGATGCATTACACCAGAGTTAGCCTTAGGCTAATTTACATCTGCAGTCCCCAAATACAAATAAATACATACAATATAGATAAAAATATCAACATTATTCAAAAATACACGGGATATCAAACATAAAACATCAGACATTGTTCAAGAGCATATACCGTGTACTTAATGCCCTTCACTGGCACACAGACACACACACTCTATAATACAATGGTACGCCAACACCCAACCCCTTCTTAACCCTACAATAAGAAGGTAAATGTGACTTAAGGAATTATTATCTTCTTATTAAACGGTCAAAGTTCTCAATGCTTCGTTTCGCATGTATGGACCCTCATTATGTTACTGTGTTAGTGTGGGGCTATTTTGAGCCTTGTCAGTGGTATAAACTAGCGATTTCTTTTTACTTAGTCAATGCTCCCAGTACTAGCATTATACGCTAAACAGTTTTTAGAGATAAAACACTTTACATTCGATTATCATGAAAACAAATCTCAGAGAACGGTTGACTAGTAGGTACCGATGTTTTATTAGACCAAAGGTTCATTTTGCACAGGAGTTCTCCTGTAATCTGATGGATGAAAATGCATCTTAACACCATGGCAGACTCAAAACAAGCTGAATCAAATGGCAGCATTTCAAGAATAAAAGCAGCTTGACTAGAATCAGTGATTTAAAAGCAGTGCTAGACTAACTTAACTCAATTCTCCATTGAAAGTTCTCGTTTAAAGCAGTTTCAGACTGAAGTGCTTCACTGAGCAGTTAGACAGAAGCACTGTGCCAGAAGTTATAATACTGCTCGACAGTGTCGCAGGAGCTGGTTTTGATGGATGTACAGCTCGTCCTCTGGCACGTCTCTCAGATAGAGACGGTTCGTCCAGTCAGCACTCTGAGATGGTTACGACGGTCTGATTTCAGTTGAGGGGCTTGTATTGTCCCAGCTGAGGAGGTTTTATATGAACATCCATTAACAAGAGATGAACCAGCACCACGTGAACCCTGCACTCGCATTATTACAGATACTCCCACAACATACATGCACGCACACACACATATCACGGAGTAAGGGAAATAAAGATAAGTAGGTGGTGAGGTCAGGAATGAGTGTTTATGAGATTGCCTCACAGGTGCTGAGGATGCATTTCCATTGGATTATTCATAGATGCATTATTTATGAGAGTGTGTATGTACAATATTGTTTATTAGTTAAAAAATGCTCACCCTGGCTGCATTTATTTGATCAAAAATACAGTAAAAACTAATATTGTGAAGTATTTTTACAATTTAGAATAGATGTTTTGTATTTCAATATATTTCAACAAAGCTGAATTTTCAAGATCATTACTCACGTCTTCAGTATCATCTTTCAGGAATCATTAAAATATGGTAATTTTCTGCTCAAGAAACATTAATTATTATTATCAATGTTGATGTAACGATCACCAGTGATAACCGGGATAAACCATCAGAGACAACCAACAAACTACATTTCCCATAATCCTTAGTTTGTCCAGACTAATCAGACATGATCATAAAAACATGGTAAAAATCACCAGAACATAAAGGGTCAGAACAACATAAGGTTGAGAAAACAATGAGCTAATCCTTATGTCTCACCAGTCTTAACTCTTTCCCTGCCATTGACGTGAATTTACGACATAAATGAGATGCCATTTATGGATTTTTTCCGGTAGGAGGCGCTATTACACATCTGAAAGTGAAACTTTCACATCTGAAATGAGATTTTTAACCCAACAGTTGGTTTGGTTAATATTTTACCCAAATTTGGGTGTATTGCAACCGCTAACTGTAAAGAGTACATACTGTACCCTTAAGTCAAGTTAAGCCTATTATAACGCTTACAGTATATATAATTTCAATGCAGCTTTACTGAGCCCTGTACTAATGTCTAAGTTTTAGGGTTTAGTTATGATGATATAAAAAGATGATATAAGAGATCCTAGATCTAGCTATATTGGATTAATAGTGCGCATCAGAAACTCGGGCACATGTCTGGGTGTTCAAAGGCAATTTAGAGATTTCAATATTGTTCAGTATTGCTCTATTAAGAGATTTAAAAGTTGGTCTGTTTTCTTTTCTTAAGAGATTGAAATATCATCGGTCAGAGTTGTTCTGTCTTTAATATCGGTTCGTTTCATTCTGTAAAGAGACTTAAATGTTGGTTGGTTTTGTTCAAAGTGGGAGTAAGCGATTCTCAAAAAGTATTAATGAAAATGAAAATGTGAAAAATATTTAATGTGATAAAAAAACAGTATAAAAAAGGATTCTCAACTTTAAATATGCACTCTTAGAAGAAATGGTTCTATTTAGAACCAGAAATGGTTCCATCCCCCGCTTCATATGGAACTCCAAAATGGTTCTATATAGAACCATTTTTTTTGGTAAAAGGTTCTATTGGCCAAGTACGGAACCCCAGTGTTCTATATAGAACCCAGAGGAACCCTTTTTTTAAGAGTGTATAGAACCTTTTAGGGGTTCCAAATATGTAGCGCTGATAGAACCTTTTAAGGTTCTATATAGAACCTTTTCTTCTAAGAGTGTGGGTGCATTTATAAGGGCAGCGTGGCAGCAGATATCAGTTTATGTGAATGTAGGCTGTCCTCGTCTCACCCCAGCGGTGTACAGAGGCTCTTGGGGCCGTAGGGCAGCACAGGGGTCCAACAAATACTACTTCATCTCTAACCCCTCTCTCCTCTTTCCTAGTTGTCCTTCCATCTCATTCGCCTCTTATTCCATACCATCTGCTCCATGGCTCAGAGGCACACCTCATTAATAGACAGGATGACCTTCTGCGCTGTTGTGTGTGTGTGTGCATCTTGGCTTTGCTTAGGCCAGATAGAGCCGCACCGGAGGCTCTGTGCAGAGCGGGTTTATCAGGATACAGAACCTCCCGTGTTTACCCTCATCCATCACGGCAGGACATCCCGTACGAGGATGATGTTGGTTTAAGATTCCCAATGCTACCCGCA